ACTCAGCCAGCACAAGCCGACCAACGAGCAAGCCAACGAGTACCACAACTCGATTCGCCGCGGCGCCGATCCCAAGCACCCGGCGTACCTGATTTTCCCGTACGTTGGCGGGTCGGCGGCGTTTGGAAAGGACGTGCGGCGGGTGTTTGCGTCCGATACCCGCGCGGCAGTGCTGGCGCGGCTGGCGGCCATGCTGGACGTGTGGGTGCGGTCCACGGCATCCAAGGGCCACATCAAGCGCCACATTTACACCAGCGACACGGGCATGCAGCTGGTCAAGGATCAGACCACGGGCGTCATTGCGGTGGTCGTGCACGCCGACCCAGACCGGCAGCGGCCGGGGTGGTACCACGACAAGTTCGGGACCTGGAAACCGTCGGCGGCTATTCTCGGCAGCATGGGCGGGCGGCCGCCGGGGACATCAGTGGGCATGGGCGGCGGCAGCAGTTACCCTCCTTCCCGCGGCCGGTCGCGATCGCACTCACGGACTCGCGGGCGCCGCATGTCGCCGCCTCCGCGACGCCGTGGCGGGTACTCGCGGTCGCGCACCCGCAGCCGCAGCTGGGGTGGGCGGTACCGGTCGCGGTCGCGGTCGCGCGATCGCGGGTCTCTTCGCCGTGGTGGAAGTGGGCCAGGCAGTGGTTCGGGTCGTCGCGATTCACGTTCGTCGTCATGGAGCCGAAGCCGCAGCCGATCACCGCCAGCAAGCGGCAGCAGGAGCCGCCGAGGAACCGGATCAGGGCGGTCCCAGGGAACGGCGGCAGCAACGGGAGCGGCGGCAGCGCCCTCGCGAGAGCACGGCAGCCGCCGGGGCCGGTCTCCTTCGCGGTCTCGATCGCGGTCGCGCAGCCGGTCTCGCCGCTCAACAGCCGCGACGGCGACACGTTCTTCCGGAGGTGGCCGCCGCCGGTCGCACTCGCACGGCTCATCGCTTGCGTCCCGTTCTCGGTCACGGTCGCGATCTCGGTCGCATAGTCGTGGCCGCACCGCGGACCATGGCACCAGCAGTGGCTCTTCTCGTGCTATTCGAGGAGGTCCGTTTTTTTTTTTATATTTATTCCTTCAGGTCCAAGTCCTTACCGTGAGAAATTAATAACAGCCTCGCCACATTCGCCTCCCCGCCGCCCACCATCCCCACCGTCCCTGCCGCGCAGCAGCCGGACAGCCGCCACTCGCAATGGCCGCAGCCGCCAGTCGTCGACCAATGGCCGCGTCTCGCCGCCACACCCGGTGCCGACGGCGCGCGGATCGAGCCAGACCACCGACGACGACGAAGGCGACGATGGGTCCCGGATGGACGTGGATAAGCCGACCGCTGCTGACCGGCATCGCCTTGGGACCACTCCGTCGCCCATGAACCCGCCATCGTCGCCGGGAATGACGCCTCCACCGCGACGGCGCCGTGGTGGCGCTGGAGCGAGCGCGGCCGACTCCAGTCCTGGAGCCTTGACGCCCAACGCCAAGCCTGAGCCACCAGTAGCACGGCCCCCCAAGGCTCGCGCTTCGGCATCGGCGGTAGCGGAAGCTGTCAAGGCGCCAGCGCCGATGCGCCGCATGACGCGAACGGCGGCGGCAGCAGCAGCAGCGGCAGCAGAGACCCTGGTGATGCAAATGTCGGCGGCGGATGCGGTGGCTTCGGTGACGCCTAAAAGCACGACTGCCGTTCGGGGGAAAGCGGCAGCGGCTCGCGCTGCGCAACCCGATTCAGTCGAGGGCGGCAACAGCGACGTTGCTGCTCCAAGTGCCGAGGCGCCGCCACCGGTGGCCAAGCGCGCAAGGGCCATTCGGACCGCGCTGGCCATCAAGGTGACCAAGGCCCGTGCTGGCAAGAACAAGCCGGTATTTTCTACCCTTTTATATTTAATACTGCATTGGAACTGACACATCAAGAAAAAGGACGGGGGCGACCAACAACAGCTGTCGCAACCTGAGCAAGAGGGCAGTAGCAAGCAATCCCAACCACCAACAGCTGGATCATCGTCCACGTCGTTGGCATCGACATCCGCGGTACCCACAGCAGCAGCAGCAGCAGCAGCAGCAGCAACAACAACAACGCACGCTTCATCCCTGAGCGAGAACGAGGAGGAAGAGGTGGTGGACGAGAGCAAGCGGGAGCGGATGGTGGAGACCATCACCAACAAGCTGTTCCTGGCGGCGGGCCGCAACGTGGCGATGATGGGGTCGATTGTCCGCCACGTGACGCACGGGGTGTCCAACGGGTACACGGACCAGGAGACGGTCGAGTACGCGCGGGCAATGGTGGACTGCCAGTTTCCGGGCGTGCAGTGGAGCGGGTTGGATTGAAATTGTCTTTTCTTTGAATTTCTCTTTTGCCTCCCACTCACTGAATCTCAAAAGCTCCAGAAAGTGGAGAAACACCCTCGATACCAACCCAAGAAAAAAAAATACAATGACCTCTCGCCTCCTGGCATTCACCTGTGCCGACGATTTTGACTATGATGACGACGAGGCGTTCGCTCCCTTGGGTCCTTCGCCATCGCCGTCCTTGCAGTTTGATTTCGCTCCCGTATCTTTGGCGGCGGTGGTTGCCGCCAGCAGTGAAGACGAGGACGACGACAACGATGACCAGCTGTGTATTCTCCTGACCCAATCCATGTACGCGCGTCCTCTGAAATTTTTTTTTTCTCATGATTAAGTGACGTGCAACTGACTCTGTTTCCAAATTAATGCAGTGCGTCATTGCCGTCGCCACCAACGCCGACACCAAGATCCAACGTTGCGCGGCGGACACGCGACCGCTACGGGTCGAGCGGAAATGAAAGGACGCCAGCCGCGCTATTTCACGACGACGAAATTGTCTGTGGCATGGACCTGCTGCTGCCGACCCACGCCACGGCCGCCGACATTGCCTCTGCGCGCGAGTACGGCCGCGGTCCCCGTGATCGCCGTCCGCGAGCAGCCGTGACCGTTCGCTCCCAGATCGTCACCCCCGAGTGCCTGACAACGGCCGACATAATTCGCTCGCGGTACGAGCTGCCTGCCCCAATTGTTGCTTTTGCTACCGCGGATGCTGAGGATGTCGGCTGTCACTTGCCACCGACACCTTACGTCTCGCAAACGTTTGGGTTTGGGCCGGTGTCGTCGCGAGTGACCTTTGTCGGTGCCGCTCGCCACTTGAACCGCCAGCAGACTCGGACGGATACTAGAGCGGCCGTCGCGTACCTATCACCCCCACCATCCTCGTCATCAAGCAGTGCCAGTCTCGGGACCTGGTCGCCCGTGTCGCCCATGATGCTGGCAGCCGAGAGTCCGCTCCTGCTATCCTCCTCCTCGCCGCCGCTCCTTGGATCGCCACTGTCGCCAGAGAAGGGACAGGGCGTGGCGGCACGGACGCGCTCGCGACATGCATCTGCTACTGCCGCGACTCCTCCACCCGTGTCGGTGGCGGTGGCGGTGGCGGTGCGAGCGTCAGCTCCGCTCTGTTTTACGCTGCCCTTGTCGCCGCCGCGGTCCCCTACACAAGAGCTGGCCGAGATGCTGACATTTGTTGGGTTGCCGTTGACTATTGTGGATTCGATTGTGACTCACTCCATCACCACCATCACCACGGTCGAACAAAGGACGAGGATGTCGTCCAGCCAAGTGGTCCGGCAGCGGTATTTGTTGTCCATTCCAATATAATTTTTGTGTCTCTTTCTGTGTATTTCTTTAATTTTTTTTTTTTAACTCACCGCTCCCGAAAAAAAAAAAGCCTTTCTGTGTATTTCTCACTCGCGTAATAAATGGCTCAAGTAACTTCAACACCAACATCGATTTCCACGACACGCCAGGAGGAAAATGGGGCCGATGAACGCACATTCTCGCTCAGCGACTTTGACGTGGGCCACTCACTGGGCAAGGGCCGGTTTGGGCACGTGTACCGCGCGCGGGTCAAGGCCACCGCGCACATTGTTGCCATCAAGATCATGGACAAGCGGCAAATCGAGAGCGAGGGCGCCATCAGCAGCGTGCGGCACGAGGTTGAAATCCAGTCCCGCTTGAGGTATTCTCATTTTCGGATTGCACTTGGTCCCATTTATTCACGCGAATGGAAAACAGACACCCCAACATTCTGCGCCAGTTTGCGCATTTCGTCGACCGCAAGCGCGTGTTTCTGGTGCTGGAGTACGCCGAAGGTGGGGAGCTGTTTGACCGGCTCACTAAAGCCGGGCGGTTTGACGATGCAACGGCCGCAAGCTACATTGCCCAAATCGCAAACGCGGTGCTGTACTTGCACGCCAAGAAGATCATTCACCGGTATGCTATCTGACATCTTTTTTTTATGATAGGGTACGATTTAACGGGATTGAAAAAAATAGCGACCTCAAACCCGAGAATATCCTCCTGGCCGCGGACGGCACCATCAAGCTGTGCGACTTTGGCCACGCGGTGATTTCCCCGCGCGATCGACGACACACGCTGGTGGGCACTTTGGACTACCTCCCAAGCGAAGTAACCGAGTCCCGCCCTTACGGATCGGCGGTTGATCGCTGGACTCTGGGCGTGTTGCTGTACGAGTTCCTGGTTGGCCAAGCACCCTTTTACGCCGACGATCAGACCGACACGGTTCAGCGCATTCGGAACCTCGAATACACTATCCCGGACCACGTGCACCCGCTCGCGCAAGACCTGATCAAGCGGTTGTTGCAGCGAGAGCCCGAGGAGCGGTGCAAGCTGGAGCACGTTCTGGTCCACCCGTACTTGACAACGCTTGCACCCGAGACGGTGCACGGTCTGTGGATGTCACCCGATCTGACCCAAGTGGTGCAGGCCGCCAAGCGACTCCATGAGAGTGGGGAATTGTTTGCTCCGGTGTAAATATAATGTTTTGACTTTGCTCGTGTGTAATCTGCGCTGGGTTCGTTCGAGTGAGATTCCATGCATCCGATGCAAAAAAATGATTGGCCATGTCCACGACACCGACTCTTCTCGATCGTCCAAGGTCAGGAATGGCAATCAAACGCACACAAAACAATCAATTAATCCTGAAGTAAAACGAATACCCACGGCGGGACTCGAACCCGCAACCCTCAGATATCTTCAGAGTAGAAGTCTGACGCGCTAACCATTGCGCCACGCAGGCATTATTTCCGCGAGGATCCAAATCGTAGGATTCGAGCATTTTCCTGATTCAACAAGAGAATACTTCCCATATAAATATATTGAATAATAAATTAAAACCCAAGTCGAGTAAGAGGCTCCTCCAAACCAATGGAGGTATCTGTGGCAAATGCGGCACCCGGACGCGACGCCCGTGTTGCCGCCGACGGTGCTGCGCCAAACATGGCGCCCCTGCTATTGCTGCTTCCATTACCAGTTGTCTGGCGGCTTCGAGGCGGTTGGAACGCGCCACCTGGCATCCAGGTACCGCGAGACCCGCCGCCGCCCGATTCAGCGTTGCCGCCGTGGGTCCAGTCCAAGTCCATGGCCTCATCATCGTCTGCACCCTCATCCGCCGCCGAGTCCCTGCGCGCACGTGCTCCTCTATCCACGGCCGACCGCATGCGCGCCCACGCGCTTGCCGCCATACCATTGATTCCACGAGACGAGGAAAAGGAAACACGGTCGTCGTCTTCGTCATCGTCATCCCTCGCCAGCGGCGGCATGTACACGGGTGGGCGCGACGGCGCAAATGCCGCGATCCGGCGCCGATCCTGCTCGGCAACCGCCATCGCCGTTTCGCGGTCCTTGCGTTCCTGTCGTTGGCGCGCCTGCTCGCGCAAGATCGGTTCCCAGCTCGACTGCGATCCGGGCTGTGGGCGATGATGGTGCGCATCGGGAACCAGGTGGCGCGGGAGGCGTTCGCGGTTGACGTTCTCGAGCCGCGTGGCTAGCGACGGAACAAACTGGTTGGCGTGGCCAAACATCTGCGGTTGCGGGACCATCGTGGACGGCATGCGCGGCTGTGGGGCAAACATCGGGTTGACGGCCCGGTGCTGCTGCTGCTGCCGCTGGGCTGTGATTGTTGTTGCAGTGGGAGCGAGTGCGGACGAAAACCATGAGCGGCCGCCGCGACCCAGGGTCGGCGAGTCCCGCCCACCGTCCGTATCCTCGTGGTCGCTATTGCCACCATCATTGCTGGCATGGTGAGTGGGGTCATCGTTGTCGCGCAAATGCCAGCTCGAGATCCGCGGCAGCAAGATCGTGTTGGCGACACGCCCTGCTGTGCCTGGCGACATGACGGGAGCCTGACGACCAATTTGTTGGTAAGAACGACCACCATCGTTGTGGCCTGGGGTGGCTTGTTGTTGCACGGTCGACGAGGGATGGTCATCGTCGCCATGGATGATCATGTCGTCGGCCGAGAGGCCCAGTCGGGATTGCATTTCGGTCGGGGTCAGGTGTAGCGTCGATGGGCCACGGGCATAGGAGACCGAGTACGACATGAGTGCGCGCGGTGCCGTTTTGAGAAACTATTTGTTTCTTTTTCTGAGTGACCAAAGCTTTAATTTAAAAAATGGGATGTATACGAACAATGTAGTGGCCAACGACCGTCGCAGCCAAGATAGAGATCGGGAACCAGTTTTGTAAAGGCAACACTTGGTCAAAGCAAGCGGCAATGGCGAGCACGCGTAGTAAGAGCCGAGGCAGTGCGCATTTGATCTGCAAAAAAAACATTACTTGTTGGCAGTGAGTGAGGCCGCATCAAACACAAAGAGGAGAAGAAAGGACGAACTCGATATTGCCAGATCGCTTGGTTAAACATGGACCAATAAAAGTTGCGCTGGGCATCGTCCTTGTGGTGCCAGTACGCAACCCATAGGGGATTAAATACGAACGCCTCAACCAGTGCAAGGATCCCTGCCGCCATGACCGTGGCTGGTACATCATCGTAGGACGTTGGCCTGGCCAGGACGAAATCTCCATAGGCACCTACGAGTTGGACTTGTTAAAGCTATGCTGCCCACAATACAACCCAGTTTATAAAAAAAAGGCGTACGCACGCATTGCAAGCAAGCCCAGGAAATAAATGGGCGTGAATCCGGCAGCCAGCTGGACAAGGGCACGAATGGCACGAATTGGAGTAGGGATCTGGGCCATGATGGCCGCCGACAGGTGCGGGAGGACCGGGCCCGTGCACCGCGGATCTGCGGCCGCGGATCTTTGCGCATCGAGGAACCACGACAGGTGTCCCGCCCAGTGGTTGTGCAGGCGATCCGTGCACCGACTGCACAAGTTATTTCCAAATGGCGGTGGATTGGTCTGCTCCACTTACACGGATACGCACACAGTCAGTATATGTTGCTTTGGCAAGAAATGTACGACGCACACGAAGACTGTCCTCGTCGTCGCGTGCGAGTCGGCAGCGAATGTAAATCTCCTGCTCGTGCAAGCAGCCAGGGCACAGAATCGCGGCGGCGCTGCCCGAAACGTCCAGTCCGGGCATCGAGGGCGCGCGGAATACGTCAGCAGAGGGATTGGCTGAAGGGTTCTGCTGGGCTGCATGCGCGACAAACTCGCCCTTGGTATCAAACACATTGTCGGCACCGCACGCGGGACAGTTGAATGCCACCGCGGCCCCGGGAATGCCAGAAGTGTACGCGGTCGGGGGCACAGTGACGGATGTCCCGCAGTAGTAGCAGTCGCGGTCACCCTTTGTTGACGACGATGCGGGTGATGAAGACTCCAAGGCAGACGAAGCAAGGGATGTCACGGACGAGCGACGCCGGAACCAAAGGACCAGAGCAAGAAGCACGAGCATGGATGCCCCGGCAAAACGATTTTCGCGATGCAGGTGAATCAGCGATCTGCTGTCGTCGACAAGTGGTGCGATGCGCAGGAGAACGCGGTCGGCCAGAGAGGCGCCATGGGCCAAGATCTCACTGGTATACGCGTCGAGAAGCGCCAAGAGGTCGTCGGCCATTATTTGCAAAAGAATTGGATTGAAATGGGAAAGAGATTTTTTAATAATACGAGTCCTCCGCTGCGGCAACAGATGGAGCAGCTGCACTCTTCTTGACCGTCTCCATGTTCACTTTGGCAGTGACTGAAGGGCGTGCGCGGGCCTTGGCGGCGGCGGTGGGTGGGACAGCGGCGGGTTCGGCCAGGGCCGCGTCGCGCTTCTTCTTCATGGGAGCGAAATCAGCCTCGGTGATGCCCAGCTCCCGTGCGCGCTCGGCCTTGATACGCGCGGCCTCATCCACGAACGGCTGCTTTGCCTCCGCCGGCATGGCCTTCCAGGCAGCGGCGATCTGTCGCGATGCAGCTGGCATGTCGATCTTTTGGCCCTTGGCCAGGTCCTTCTTCAGCTCCACGTGCGCGTGACGCGTAAACAGGTTGTAGCTCGAGAGCAGGCCTTTACGCAGGTTCTGCAGTTCCTTGGCCGGGGAGACGGCCGTGTCCGAGTCCACGTTTGTCTTGGTCAGCTCGCGTTTGGCCTTGAGCTCGGCCTTGCCCATCTTCTGGTACTTGCTGGCAGCGCGCTGCGCGGGCGTGTAGGTAGCATCGTAGTGGGCCCTGATCTGCTTGTACTCGGCACCGAGGCGGCGGCCCTCGGCCTGGAACCGGGTCTTTTCTGGCTCGGGGAGCAAATTCCAGATGGCGGGCAGCTGGCGGAACCAGTCGATGGGGTCGAGGTCGGTCGGCCGCTTGGACGCGTATTCCTTGACAAAGAGGCTGTAAGAGGTTGCGGGTCGCTTTGGCGGGATGGGTGCGGGTGGGACTGTGATTGCGTTGTTTTTGTTAGCATGTTGTGTTGGATGATGGCAAAATGGCACCGTACGCTCAGAGGACGCAGTGGACAAGGATGCGACCGGTGCCCGCAGAACCACTGCGGTCGCAGAACGGGTGAGACTCACCAGGGTCAATGTGTTGCGAATCAACGCCAACATTTCTTGAAATTTCCAATTGATTTTCCAAGGAGACAACGGCAGCAGGTGGCGCCTCTCTTTCCCAGACCCTCGACCGCGTATAAAACTCAATGCCCCCGCCAACCAGTAGTGCCCTGCCGCCGCTGCCACGCAACCCGTCGCCGGTCCGCACCGCCTCGACTGGCTCTACGCGCTCTCGCCCGGTCTCGGCTTCTTCCGCATCTGGCACTGGCACTCCCACTGCGCGTTCGCCCCGGTCCGCCACCGCTATTGCCACCCCGCTCCCGTCGTCGCCCGTGCCAATTGAGACGGACCCAATGCATGATCCGCGTGCCAGCGTCGCCTCCACCGTCCTCAGCACTTCCTCCATTGCCGAAACCGAACACTCGGCCACGGGCGATGAGGCGGATGATGGGTTTGATTCCGGTCCGGGCCTCAGCCGTGCCTCCACTGGCACCGCATCAGTCGTGTCCGAGTCTGGCAGCTCCATCGCCGCCGACAATGGCGCCGCCACCGTCATGTCGAGCATGGTGGACATGAACTCGTCCATCGCCACCATTCACGCCTTTTCTCCCGGCCCCTCCTCCTTCGCGTCGAGTGGCGGTGGTGGTCCCGCTCTGCCGCGCCCTCTCGGTGGTGGCGGAAACGGTTCGAGTCCCCCTTCTGGCCCTGGTGCTGGCGCTGGCCGCCACTCGTCGTACCTGGAGCTGGCCTCCCAAGGCCGGCTTGCACCAACCATTGACGAAGAGACTAACTATGACGAACGCACCCTGCCCGCGCTCCCGCCGTCCATGTCGACACCCTACTCCCCCGACGACTCGGCGAGCCTGGGCCGGCTGATCAGCGTGGACTCTGTCGGTGAGGAGGATGACAGCGATGTTGCTGCCGTGACTACCATCGGACTCGTTGACCATGATGGGAGCGGCGGGTCTGCGCGTCCGCTCAAGCCCTCGGACAACGTGATTGGCCTCTCGTCCGCGCCCATCTCGGCTTCCTCCAATAACAACAATGTTGCGCATTTCGGACTTGGTGACCAGGAATACGGTGACGACACCGATGCCGCTACAGGTGATGGTGGTATTCGGGACGCTGAGCCAGACCACTTGACCGCCTTGGCTGATCCTGGCCGCAGGCTCTCGGCCCGCGGTGGTATGGGCAGCAGTCAGCTTGGCAGCCGCACCGGAGTCGCGCCTCACTCCATCCTGGGCCATGGCTCGATCCTAGCGCTCGATGCTGGCGTGTCCACGACCTTTTTGGACGCATCCATGAGCGC